AATAAAGAACAATAACAATAAATAAGATAAGGTTGAATGATGTACAAATACTACGTCATGCACTGTTAATTAAATGAGTAAAGTATGGAAGCATTTGTTTTGCTATGAATGAACATGTATAGGAGGTTGCTAAAGAAATTGAAATATAAGAGAATATGTAGTGATAAGCGGAATATGTGTAAATTGACTAAATGAATATTAATTAAAAAATAGAATTCGTAAGAATTCTCTTTATGCACAAAGATTAACTATTTAAGTGAAAAGCTAAAAATGTAAAGATAAAAGTTTACTCTAAATGATTGGTAAAAGTGAAAATGAACGATGTTTGACTCAAACAGTTTGAGCAATTTTAGTATATAGTGGATAAATCTAAAGAATTAATTTGATAAATAGTGAATGGATATGGTATAGAAAAGATATATCAAAATACTTGTGACATAAACAATTATTGTATCAATATAAGAAAATTTATTTGTGCTAACAATGAATTATTATTCGATGAGTAACTAAAAATTATTTTTAGAGTTATGGTCTCGAAACACAATTATGTGAGCCAACCCCAAATGACTACAAGGCCTAAGTTTCTCAAAGAATAGTATGATAGTCCAACCACAATTCCCTACTTAAGATGTGTTAATTAAAGAACAATTTTATACATAAAGTAGTTCGGAAAGGTATTCATATAATTTGAAGGCTATGACAAAATTATTTATTTTATTTTATTGCAAGAAGATGACATGTTTTTATTTTTTGGATATGACTAATCTAATTAGTTAGGTATACACCGGTCCTAAATTAATTAACCACATCATAAAATATATTCAACATCTCATACACACTTCAAGAATTACTTGACACATAATTTTTAAGTTAATCCAATTATTAACTACATGCAATTCCCTAAGTGTTCGACAAATAGATAAACATTAAAGCAAGCAAGCAAATACAACATCTATCTACTACTTTACGTTTTGGGTACATCCAAGAACGGGAAGTACAAAACGAGAAGCTTGACGGGGATTTGTCTTTTCATCTTCGAGTGTTGTCTTTCAAAAGTAACTCTGTGTGATAGTACCTCGCAGGATAAGAGAAGTGAAATTTTTGAGAAATTGTTTTTGAAAATAGTTTGAAAATATTTTTGGGAAATTGTTTTTAGGAAATAGTTTTGGAAAGTAGTTTAAAAGATAATATATGAGGCTCAGATATGTATTTTTCGATATCCGTCTAGACATGAGAATGGAAACCGCCTCGGTAGCAACTCCGGTGGCCAACCGTGTCGCCTCCCATAGGTTGTAGGTTTCCTTTTTCGATATTTATCATCGCCTCATTATTTCGGACCCAGTCCAAGAGTTAAACGGCGCGTCGTGGCCTCAAAATAATTATTCTCATAGGCGCTGTCCAACAAAGATGTATGTACGTCCTCGTGACATAGAGGAATAATGATTCTAACAAAAGAGCTAAATTTAGTGTTTATAGAAATATCAAGCGAACACAGTCCAATATCACAATCATCATCAAGGAGCGATCGACAGGAATAGCAGCAAACAGTACCTCTAAAACAATACCAAATTGTTAGTTGCAACGGGAATTAGGCCAACATAATGAATCCATTACAACCAAAGTAATCACAACTAGTCATTAAAAACATAGCCACATCAAACAAACAAAGCTACTACGCAACAGAAGAGCCGGAAAAAATGGTGAAATCGCCGGCAAACACTGGTCACCGGAATTTAAAGTCTTCGGTCAGTATTAGCAAATCAAAATTCGACAATTAGGTTTAAACCACAAATAGCAGTCACCAAAAACGAAACAGCCATCACAGAAAAAGTAAGAGTCGCCGGAGTTACATTTTTCCGGCATCGAAGCATCACATCTTCGGTGTTCACGGTCTGGTAGCTGAGATTAAAGCTTACTGCTGGAGACTGATATAATGTACAAAGAAAGACCTACCGGAGCGGACTCGTAAGTGTTGTCTCAGACCAGATTTAGACCAAAGCTCCAGTGATCTTTTCCTGTCAGATCTGTTCAGATCAAACCATATCCAAGTTATGTCACGTCATTATTAAGTTAAAACAATGTCTAGTCACATCAAATATCATGTCACGTCGGATGTTGATGGAGCATTGAATTTGAATGTACTAGATTTGTGTTTTGAATTAAATTCAACTGCCTTCCGTATAATTATAGACTATGCTATATAAGAAAATATTTATTTAATCAAGAAATATTATAGTATTTATTTTAAAATTGAAAATACTACAATGATGTATATATCATTTTTTTTAAATGACAATAAATTAATAGAGTATCCTAATATTTGAAAAATAGGATGATGTGTCATAGAAATGCGACACTTTTGATTGTAATTACATAGACTTTAGCTCATCTTTTAAAGAATTTTAAGTCATTTCTTATCTAGTTTTGGTGTTTTGTAGGAAACCATACTTGAAAAACCAAGAACATAAAAAAGATGACAAAAACACATGGAAAGACAGAAATGCGGCAGGTATGCGACCGCAAAAGTGATGTGAGGACCGCAGATCCATCGCAGAATGAAGCAGATCATCCCAATTTATGAGAGTCAAGTATGCGATCCATTGTGCGGTCGCATAACTCTTATGCGGACCGCATAGTGATCGCACAAATGCAAAAGAATTTACAGTGAAGATGGCTTTGCAGTACGTTATGCGGACCGCATAACCATAATACAATGGAAAACTAGAAAACTTTGTGACCAATTCTGCGGTGAAAAATGAATATGTGCGGACCGCGAAAGTGTTCTGCGGTCGAAACTTTATCTGCAGGGTCATTTTTGTCACTTTTTGATCATGACTTTTAGATCATTATAAAGAGAATGATTAGGGTTTCTGTGGACCATCGCGTCTGAAAAAGAGACTACATTTAGAGCATTGAATACACCATTATTTTGGAAGCTTTTGAGAGAGAATCTAAGACTTTATTCTCTTTGTAAGTTTTATGACTTTATTTATTACTTTATTCTTGTATTCTAATACGAGTAGCTAACTTTAAATACTAAGGTTGTGGACCCTAAGTGGGTGTAATGTTAATGGTTATTTACCATTGAATATATATATAATGATTGGTTGATTTCTGTTCATTTCTTATGCTTCATTTATGGTTGATGGTTGCAAACATTGACTAGTGCCATTTTACTCTATCTTTACTTGAAAAAGTGGGTTAGGATTCGGTAGAATTGAATAGCAAGAATTAAAAGCTTTAAACCTTGTTTAATAGAATCGCTTAAGGGTAAGTGAGTTCTACTTGATATAAATTAGTTGCTCTTAATTGTAACTCTTTTATATTTGAGAAAATCATAAAAAGGAAATACTACCTAGTTATTGGAAAATATTGAGTTGTCATTTAGGAATTATTTGCACATCAAAGGACCTTCCATTAGAAATATATCATATTAACTCTGAGAGCATTACATTCTATTGATGGGGACAGAACCTTGGTTTCTTAATTAAATTAATCATATTCTCTTAACAAAATAGCTTTTCTGGACAATTCACAATTACAAAACTCTTTTTAAACTAACGGAGTAGAACTACGGCCTAAGTGAAGTTTTACACTATTCAAATGACCTTTTCACACTTATTCCCTGCGGGATTCGACCCCAACCTAGTTGGGTTATTATATTTGACACCGGCCGCGTTACACCATTTATATTGGTGTAATTTGAGCGTATCAAATTTTGGCGCCGTTGCCGGGGAATACGGTTTTGAAATTACTAACTAGTGTGTGCTTTACTTTATGTCTTCTTCTATTCTATCACACTTTGCTTGCTTTTCTTGGTGCCATTAGGTAAACATGGGCGAGCCAGAAGAAGAGAATGTGTTTGCGGATATAGATGAGTATATTGAGGATACAAATGTCATTGTCCCTCCAGGAGTTGATGCTACCACCTTTAAAGTGGAACACAGTCTAATCCTATTGCTAAAGGTAGAAGGGTTCTTCCGAAATTTCACCGAGGATGATCCGACCCAACATCTCAGAAATATTTTGGGTGTGTGTGCAATGCACAAGCAGAATCATGTCTCAAATGATGCCCTAAGGTTGAGGGTGTTCAAGTACTCTCTAACTGGAGAGGCAAGATAGTGGATCTAAAATCTACCTCCTAATTCCATCCGTACTTGGCCCGAACTTGTCCGAGCTTTTCTAGCAAAATAGTTTCCGCAAAGCAAGAAGTCCGAGCTTCGCGATAAATTTTCTTCTTCGGGCAATTACCGGGAGAGTATCTACATGAGGCATGGGATAAATTCAAGTTATATTTGGTGAGGTCGCCGAATCATTGCTTTCCGAATAATATTTTTTTGGAGAAGTTTTATATGGGCTTGGATCCTATGAATCAATCCATAGCAAAATATGCAGCGGATAGATCTTTTATGGATAAAATATTTACAAGGGTCACACAAATCCTCGACAAGATGGCAGAATATAACCAAACTTGGCACTCGAAAAATACCACAGGTGGAATTTCATATGGTACTCCTTCCTTGACTAACATGATTAAGGAGAACCAAGAAAGAAATCAAGTAATTGTCGGGCTTGGCACCACTGTCAACATGTTGACAAAAATGTTCACTAAAAGCCAAATAAAAAAGGTGAATGTTGTGGAAGATGTGTAACCAATGTCAAATGAGGAATACGAAAAAGCAAATTAGGTTAACAATCCTCAAGTAGGATATCAAAGACAACCCTACCAAGGTTCAGGACAACACCACCAATGGAGGTTTAACCCGTAAGGTCAAGCCAACCAACAGTGGCGAAACGACAAAGGTAGTTCAAATCAAGAGAATTGAAGTAACAACAGCAATAATTTTTTAAATCGGAGTTCAAACCCCTATGTTCCACCAAAGGGGCAATATTCTAACTCTCCACATTGGAAGGAAAGTTCTTAAAGTGAGTCCAAGTTGGAAAACATGCTTGAAAGAGTATTGCAAAATCAAGAGAGATTCGACACTTCAATGAAGAATATGACCGAGCTTGTAGGTTCTCACACCGCATCTATTCAAAAGTTGGAGATGCAAATGAGGGATCTCTCAAGAGATCAAAATTCGAAGCAAAAAAGCACGCTCCCAAGTGATACAATTGCAAAGCCAAATGGTAGTGGGAGTGGTCCAACTTCTCATTGTATGGCAATCACAACTCGAAGTGGGAAACTACTTCAAGGAGAGAATGAACAAGTGGTCGAAGTGGAATATTCTGAACAAGAAGTCGAGGCACAAGTTGAGGTGCCAAATGTTGTTGAAGTTGAAAGACTCCTGAAGAAGGCGAGAACTCAAGAAGTGAACCATGAAGAGGTTAAGGGAAAGGTAATAGAGGCACCAAAAACTCTAGCACCAGTTCCTAGACCTGCTCCTCCTTTCCCTCAAAGACTAGCAAGAAAGGTTGATGATAGCAAACTCAAAAGGTTCTATGACATCCTAAAGCAATTATCATTGAACATTCCATTTGTAGAAGCATTTCAAGAGATGCCAGGTTTTGCTATGTACTTGAAGCACTTGATCACTAAAAAGAAAACCACCAAGAATGAAGTGGTGAATGTGACTCGCCGGGTTAGTTCCATCATTGCAACAACCGCCGTCCAAAAGAAAGAGGACCCGAGAGCCTTTACCATTCCATGCACTATTAGATTGCTTGAATTTTCACGAGCCCTTTGTGATAATGGGGCTAGCATCAACTTAATTCCCTTTGCTAATTACAAGCAAGCAGGATTAGTTATGCCTAGGCCTAAAAGTATGATGTTGCAAATGGCCGACCGTTCAATAAATCAACTGGTGGGAATAGCTAATGATGTTCTTGTGAAAGTGGGGACGTTTCTCCTCCCTGCTGACTTTCTTATTCTCGATTGTGTTGTTGATAAAGAGGTCCCTATCATCTTGGGGAGACTTTTCCTTGCTACCGGGAGGGCACTCATGGACTCAGAATAAAATGAGATCAAGTTCTGAGTTAATGACGAAGAAGTTACCTTTCAAGCAAGTAAGGGTATGAAATTGCCATATACATACGAGAGTATCTCAGTCATTGATATTGTTGATGAGTTAGAGGATGCAGTCAAGGTGAAGATGGAAGAGGAATTCCTTGGTGAGGCATTGGCGGCTATTTTGGTAAATTTTGATGGTGAGGACATGGAAGGATACGTGGAATCGGTTAATGCATTGGAGAGGCTTAGGTCCTACACTTATGCACCAAAGAAGATTTCTCTTGACTTAGAGAATAGAGTCACTCCTCCCTCTAAGATTTTAATTATCGAGCCTCCACAACTTGAGTTTAAGTCACTTCCGTCGCACTTAAGGTATAAATTTCATGGATATAATGAAACTCTACCCGTAATTATTTCTTCTTTGTTGAAGGATGTGCAGGTTGAACACTTATTAGATAACTTGAGGGACCACAAACATGCCATTGGTTGGACTATAGCAGATGTCCGAGGGATTCCCGCTGGAATTTATGAGCACAAGATACAATTGGAGCACGAGAGAAAACCTAGCGTGGATCATCAAAGTAGGTTAAATACTTCCATGCAAGAGGTGGTGAAGAAAGAAAATATAAAATGGTTAGATTTTGGGGTTGTCTACCCCATTCCCGATAGTCCTTGGGTGAGTCCTGTACAATGTGTGCCAAAGAAAGGAGGCATGACCGTGATTCAAAATGACAAAAATGAACTCATCCCAACGAGGACGGTGACCGGGTGGAGAGTTTGCATGGACTATCAGAAGCTCAATAGTGCTACTTGCAAGGACCATTTCCCTATGCCTTTTATTGATCAAATGCTCGATCGGCTAGCGGGAAGGTCATTTTATTGCTTCTTGGATGGTTACTCCGGCTAATACCAAATCAACATCGCCTTGGAGGACCAAGAGAAGAGGATATTCATATGTCCGTATAGAACCTTTGCTTTTAGCCGAATGCCATTTGGGTTATGCAATGCCCCATCTACTTTTCAACGATGCATGATATCAATCTTCTCAGGCATGGAGGAGGATTTCTTAGAGGTATTCATGGACGACTTCTCTGTAGTTGGTGATTCCTTTGAGCATTGCCTTGCCAGCCTTAGGCAAGTTCTCAAAAGATGTGAGGAAACAAACCTTGTGCTCAATTGGGAAAAAAGTCACTTCATGGTGGACGAGGGTATTGTTCATGGCCATAACATTTCCAAGCAAGGCATAGAGGTTTATCGGGCAAAGATCGAGATCATTTCCAAGCTTCTTCCTCCCACTTCGGTAAAGGGTGTTCGGAGCTTTTTGGGGCATGCCGGTTTTTACAGGCGATTTATCAAGGACTTCTCAAAAATTTCAAGTCCCATGTGCAAGACACTTGAAAAGGATGCTAAGTTTGAGTTTGATGAGAAGCGCCTCAAAGCTTTTGAGGAATTGAAAGCAAGGCTCACCAAGACACCTATTGTTGCCACACCCGATTGGTCTCTTACATTTGAACTCATGTGTGATGCCAGTGGTGTAGCTATTGGAGCAGGACCATTTCCCTATGCCTTTTATTGATCAAATGCTCGATCGGCTAGCGGGAAGGTCATTTTATTGCTTCTTGGATGGTTACTCCGGCTACAACCATATCAACATCGCCTTGGAGGACCAAGAGAAGAGGATATTCATATGTCCGTATAGAACCTTTGCTTTTAGCCGAATGCCATTTGGGTTATGCAATGCCCCAGCTACTTTTCAACGATGCATGATATCAATCTTCTCAGGCATGGAGGAGGATTTCTTAGAGGTATTCATGGACGACTTCTCTGTAGTTGGTGATTCCTTTGAGCATTGCCTTGCCAGCCTTAGGCAAGTTCTCAAAAGATGTGAGGAAACAAACCTTGTGCTCAATTGGGAAAAAAGTCACTTCATGGTGGACGAGGGTATTGTTCATGGCCATAACATTTCCAAGCAAGGCATAGAGGTTTATCGGGCAAAGATCGAGATCATTTCCAAGCTTCTTCCTCCCACTTCGGTAAAGGGTGTTCGGAGCTTTTTGGGGCATGCCGGTTTTTACAGGCGATTTATCAAGGACTTCTCAAAAATTTCAAGTCCCATGTGCAAGACACTTGAAAAGGATGCTAAGTTTGAGTTTGATGAGAAGCGCCTCAAAGCTTTTGAGGAATTGAAAGCAAGGCTCACCAAGACACCTATTGTTGCCACACCCGATTGGTCTCTTACATTTGAACTCATGTGTGATGCCAGTGGTGTAGCTATTGGAGCAGGACCATTTCCCTATGCCTTTTATTGATCAAATGCTCGATCGGCTAGCGGGAAGGTCATTTTATTGCTTCTTGGATGGTTACTCCGGCTACAACCATATCAACATCGCCTTGGAGGACCAAGAGAAGAGGATATTCATATGTCCGTATAGAACCTTTGCTTTTAGCCGAATGCCATTTGGGTTATGCAATGCCCCAGCTACTTTTCAACGATGCATGATATCAATCTTCTCAGGCATGGAGGAGGATTTCTTAGAGGTATTCATGGACGACTTCTCTGTAGTTGGTGATTCCTTTGAGCATTGCCTTGCCAGCCTTAGGCAAGTTCTCAAAAGATGTGAGGAAACAAACCTTGTGCTCAATTGGGAAAAAAGTCACTTCATGGTGGACGAGGGTATTGTTCATGGCCATAACATTTCCAAGCAAGGCATAGAGGTTTATCGGGCAAAGATCGAGATCATTTCCAAGCTTCTTCCTCCCACTTCGGTAAAGGGTGTTCGGAGCTTTTTGGGGCATGCCGGTTTTTACAGGCGATTTATCAAGGACTTCTCAAAAATTTCAAGTCCCATGTGCAAGACACTTGAAAAGGATGCTAAGTTTGAGTTTGATGAGAAGCGCCTCAAAGCTTTTGAGGAATTGAAAGCAAGGCTCACCAAGACACCTATTGTTGCCACACCCGATTGGTCTCTTACATTTGAACTCATGTGTGATGCCAGTGGTGTAGCTATTGGAGCAGGACCATTTCCCTATGCCTTTTATTGATCAAATGCTCGATCGGCTAGCGGGAAGGTCATTTTATTGCTTCTTGGATGGTTACTCCGGCTACAACCATATCAACATCGCCTTGGAGGACCAAGAGAAGAGGATATTCATATGTCCGTATAGAACCTTTGCTTTTAGCCGAATGCCATTTGGGTTATGCAATGCCCCAGCTACTTTTCAACGATGCATGATATCAATCTTCTCAGGCATGGAGGAGGATTTCTTAGAGGTATTCATGGACGACTTCTCTGTAGTTGGTGATTCCTTTGAGCATTGCCTTGCCAGCCTTAGGCAAGTTCTCAAAAGATGTGAGGAAACAAACCTTGTGCTCAATTGGGAAAAAAGTCACTTCATGGTGGACGAGGGTATTGTTCATGGCCATAACATTTCCAAGCAAGGCATAGAGGTTTATCGGGCAAAGATCGAGATCATTTCCAAGCTTCTTCCTCCCACTTCGGTAAAGGGTGTTCGGAGCTTTTTGGGGCATGCCGGTTTTTACAGGCGATTTATCAAGGACTTCTCAAAAATTTCAAGTCCCATGTGCAAGACACTTGAAAAGGATGCTAAGTTTGAGTTTGATGAGAAGCGCCTCAAAGCTTTTGAGGAATTGAAAGCAAGGCTCACCAAGACACCTATTGTTGCCACACCCGATTGGTCTCTTACATTTGAACTCATGTGTGATGCCAGTGGTGTAGCTATTGGAGCAGGACCATTTCCCTATGCCTTTTATTGATCAAATGCTCGATCGGCTAGCGGGAAGGTCATTTTATTGCTTCTTGGATGGTTACTCCGGCTACAACCATATCAACATCGCCTTGGAGGACCAAGAGAAGAGGATATTCATATGTCCGTATAGAACCTTTGCTTTTAGCCGAATGCCATTTGGGTTATGCAATGCCCCAGCTACTTTTCAACGATGCATGATATCAATCTTCTCAGGCATGGAGGAGGATTTCTTAGAGGTATTCATGGACGACTTCTCTGTAGTTGGTGATTCCTTTGAGCATTGCCTTGCCAGGCTTAGGCAAGTTCTCAAAAGATGTGAGGAAACAAACCTAGTGCTCAATTGGGAAAAAAGTCACTTCATGGTGGACGAGGGTATTGTTCATGGCCATAAAATTTCCAAGCAAGGCATAGAGGTTTATCGGGCAAAGATCGAGATCATTTCAAAGCTTCTTCCTCCCACTTCGGTAAAGGGTGTTCGAAGATTTTTGGGGCATGCCGGTTTTTACAGGCGATTTATCAAGGACTTCTCAAAAATTTCAAGTCCCATGTGAAAGATACTTGAAAGGGATGCTAAGTTTGAGTTTGATGAGAAGCGCCTCAAAGCTTTTGAGGAATTGAAAGCAAGGCTGACCACGACACCTATTGTTGCCACACCCGATTGGTCTCTTACATTTGAACTCATGTGTGACGCCAGTGGTGTAGCTATTGGAGCAGGACCATTTCCCTATGCCTTTTATTGATCAAATGCTCGATCGGCTAGCGGGAAGGTCATTTTATTGCTTCTTGGATGGTTACTCCGGCTACAACCATATCAACATCGCCTTGGAAGACCAAGAGAAGAGGATATTCATATGTCCGTATAGAACCTTTGCTTTTAGCCGAATGACATTTGGGTTATGCAATGCCCCAACTACTTTTCAACGATGCATGATATCAATCTTCTCAGGCATGGAGGAAGATTTCTTAGGGGTATTCATGGACGACTTCTCTGTAGTTGGTGATTCCTTTGAGCATTGCCTTGCCAGCCTTAGGCAAGTTCTCAAAAGATGTGAGGAAACAAACCTAGTGCTCAATTGGGAAAAAAGTCACTTCATAGTGGACGAGGGTATTGTTCATGGCCATAAAATTTCCAAGCAAGGCATAGAGGTTTATCGGGCAAAGATCGAGATCATTTCAAAGCTTCTTCCTCCCACTTCGGTAAAGGGTGTTCGGAGATTTTTGGGGCATGCCGGTATTTAC